CTTTCTCTTTATTCATTATGTGTCCCAGAAATTTCTTTCTCTTTCTGATTCGCAGGCCTTCTGGTGACCTTCTGATGACCTTCTGGTGACCTTCTTCTTCCTATATTCACCTCGATTATCCTAATTTTTTGCACGTTCAGTCCGTCGTATTCTCAGTATGTTTCTGTAGAACCGCATTCATAGATGTTTCAAGTCTCCTCTTCATTTGTGAGGGAATTGCATTCACTTCTATATTAGAGACTGGATATTAAATAGTAGTTCAACAATTGGATATTAAATAGCTTTTCAACACCCTCTTAATTATTCTAATGAAATTTTTCTGTCTCTTAATACTTTACTTAGATTCTGAAAGGCCTTTTTCATTATTCTAATACGCATTAGGATTGACGTGTCACATTGTCTCTCGCCTATGATATACAGATTATACTTATTTTCTGTATCTGTTTGATTTTAACGTCCCCAATTCGTAGCTCATGTCTCATATGCTTATGATATTTCTTAACTTTAATAGTTAGTCCTTCCTTCACGCTTTCCTTTACTACTTTGTCTACAATCTCTTCCAGTTTTTAGGAGCTAGAAAACATGTTCGAATTTCAGCCGAGATAACTGTTTTCACCTAACCTTTTAGGAATAGCCCGTATAGTTGAGTTCGCTTACGGCCATATGACTTTGAAAAACCGGTTCTCATACAGTCACCGAAGTTAAGCAACGTCGAGCTTGGTTAGTATCTAGAAGCCTGACCGTTTGGAAATACGAAGTGCTGTAAGTTTAGCTGTGCGGTTAGTGTAATGGATAACGACTCGAAATTAGAAGTCGGTGAACCGAGTTCCAGTTCCAGTCAGGTTCGTTATATTCACTGACGCGTAAATCCCCTTGGGAAAGGTATGAATCCACCTCTAATCCCCAAGCTATGGGTTAATTAGTAAGTCTCGTATCACTAAAATCATTATTATCGCCCCCCTCCCATTTTAGAATCTAATAATATTTTCTGACTTTAAATAACCTACAAAAGGTTGATAAGATAAAAATAAAGCAACCAGTCATAATCGAGATCGGTCTCTCATCAGATATTATTATGGAAATGTCTTACATTTGACGTGACACTATGATTGAGCGAGAATAGAGTCCTTGAACGTAATGCCCGATATCTACCACGTTTCAGCGAAAAGAGTGTGCTTGATAGCACATCTCAATAAATATAAGGTTTGGGGGAAATTTGGGTGGATAAAGCCTTCTCCAATAACTACCTTATCTTGCTCGGGGGTAGTAATATTAAAGCCTGCCTCGCAAGCCTAACCTAGTGAGTTCGTTTCTCATGAGGTGTTTCATGAAAGCAGCCGCGAAATTAATATTCCCCGGTCCAACAAATATCTACTTATATGTAACTGTTTTTCTGTACGCCGTTTTACCACTCTTCCCGTTGTCCCGACTCGCGTAAATAAAGTACAAATCTATATGCGTTTAAGAACATATACAGTTAGCCCCCGGATATTCGCGTTCCAGCATTCGCAGTTTCACACATTCGCGGATTTTTCTTTAGAACATTTTTACTTGTTATTCGCGGAAACTCCGAATATTGGCATGTTTTTTCTGAAGAACATATGTACAAATTATTCGCTGAGAACTCCCTCGATTCGCGTATTTTTTCGATAGAACATATTTGAAATATTCTTGTATAATTTTCCTTTTATTTAAGTGATTTAAAATATATAACCGTCCATTTTTATGGTAAAAATTGGAAGAATTGTACACCTTCATTGAAAAAGCAAACTCAAAAACATGCGTAGTGCTTGGGCTTTGTTCTTTGTTAGGAGCTGCAGCTGGGGTCTTAAAAGTGGCTTATGCTAATTTTTTTTTTTTTTTTTTTTTTAAGCGTTTCACCCCAAGCAAGGCGGGAAGCCACTAGGACGCAAGGGGTTACAGAAGATTTGGAACAAGATCAGATAGGAGTGATAGAGGAAAGGATGAGGAGAAGGATAGTGGATGAATCAAAGCAACTGGAGATGTCGATTGACATTACATTTGAAATTCTGTGGGCATCATCATGTTATGTTTTAAACTTTATATTTTATGTCTTGTTACATATATTTTATATTTTTCAGTAGTTGTATCGATATTATTTACATTATTCAGACTATTGTCCTCATCTTTGTCGCCATATTTATTACGACGTTTCGGCCGAGATGAGAAAAGTTACCTGACAGATCCTGTTCCTCCCTAACCGTCCTGTCGACTGCCTGTGTCTCCAACTGATGGATGCTAAATTCTTATCACAGATCATTGATCCCACTCGACTAAGAATCATTTTTTAATATCTGTCTATATTTCTGAGATGTGGTATTATGTACATTATTTACATTATTCGGACTATTGTCTTCATCTTTGTCGCCATATTTAATACAATGTTTCTGCCATTGTACGCTCCGGCCTTCTTCAGGTGGTTGGAATGTCGAACTGAACCCTTTATTTCGCTCACTGGGGTAGACTGTTCTAGTTCCACGTGCCATGTTTAATGGCTGTCAGTTATCAGTTATCTTCTGTTAATTTCCTTCTGAAAGTTCTCCACTGCCTTAACCGGGTATTGAACTCACACTCTTTGGGTCCTGTCACTGGATCTAACCAACACCTTTGTTCACTGTGTCATGTGTCCTTGAGGAACGAAACGTTGTAATAAATATGGCGACAAAGATGAGGACAATAGTCCGAATAATGTACATAATACCTCATCTCTGAAATATAGACAGGTTGTATCGATTTATTGTACGTATGAAAGAAAATTTACGCTAAGTGTATGGTCACAAATATGAGGAGCTCAGTCTCTAGGACATCCCAGACACAAGCACATATGATTTCATTATAGTGGGGAAGGCTTCGTGCTAGAAGCAACCATATTTTTGAAGGGTCGAATAGAGATACCAGGTGCACTTCTGCAGGTTTTGAATTCAGAGTTGTCCATCCAAGACTACAGTTTGTCCTGCTATTTAAGAAGAGGATTATTACCTTTCCTAAGGGTATTAGCACGTAAGTGAATGTAATGGATTCGACTGGAATTCGAACTCGGCTCTTCGATTCTTCAAACCGAGCCGCTACCCACTTCTCCACTAACTTAACCAATACTATTTTTCAAAAATGTTTTTTAAAGGGTCTGAAATGTTTCTAAAGTGTTTAGGATGAAAGTTTAAGGCATATGGGGTTTTAAGAATCAAAATAGGTACTTATAAGCACTTTTAGGGGTTACAAGTATTCGCGGATTCTAACTATTCACGGCTGGTTCTGGTCCTTAACCTATGCGAATACAAGAAACTCACTGCAATGTGTAGCCTAAATGTTCGTTCTTTGTTTTTTTGTATTTTTTGTCGTAAGACAACGTTAGTGCCGTCTAGCTTTTACTCCATTAAAAAAAATCTACACGATATTTTAGGAGCAAGCCGTTTATAAGTAACTGTACACAAATTTGAATATTTTTAAACTACTTCGCCAGTGACGTTAGTGTTGATCAAGAGGATAAAAATTAAAAACGTAAAATTAAGCAAAAAAGGGTTACTAAAGACGTTGTTTTAAACTATATTCAAGAAAACTACCAATCTTACTAGTTTAGTCACACTGGTGTTTGGCGCTAAAGATTTCTTACTGAACGATGGTTTGATGTTGATAGTGATTAAGACGTTACGTATTAGTTAAGAAGAATCGACGTTATACGAGGCAAAAACGGCCAAAGTCAAGCGTTGTAAAACAACTATGGTATGATAGGTGCGCTAAAACTTTCTCACTGTAAAGCTTTCTAGACAGGCAGATAGGTGAACAGGTATAAACTGAATTAATGAGATAGAGATAGGGATAAGAACTGAGATAGATAGATAGATAGATAGATAGATAGATAGATAGATAGATAGATAGAAAATTGAGAATAGAGATAGATACATAGATAGATGGATAGATAGAAAATTAAGAAGATAGATAGATAGATAGATAGATAGATAGATAGATAGATAGATAGATAGATAGAAAATTGAGAATAGAGATAGATACATAGATAGATAGATGGATAGATAGAAAATTAAGAAGATAGATAGATAGATAGATAGATAGATAGATAGATAGATAGATAGATAGATAGATAGAAAATTCAGAAGATAGATAGATAGATAGATAGATAGATAGATAGATAGAAAATTAAGAAAATAGATAGATAGAAAATGAATAATAGATAGATAGATAGATAGATAGATAGATAGATAGAGATAGATAGATGAAAATAAGAAAATAGATAGATAGATTAAGAATATAGATAGATAGATAGAAGATAGATAGAATATAGATAGATAGATAGATAGAAAATTAAGAAGATAGATAGATAGATAGATAGATAGAAAATTCAGAATATAGATAGATAGATAGATAGATAGATAGATAGAAGAGATAGATGATAGATAGATAGATAGATAGAAAATTAAGAATATAGATAGATAGAAAATTAAGAATATAGATAGATAGAATATAGAAAATTAAGAAGATAGATAGATAGATAGATAGATAGAATATAGATAGATTAAGAAGATAGATAGATAAATAGATAGATAGATAGATAGATAGAAGATAGATAGAAGATAGAAAGATAGATAGATAGATAGATAGATAGATAGATAGATAGATAGATAGATAGATAGATAGATAGAAAATTAAGAAGATAGATAGATAGAAAATTAAGAAGATAGATAGATAAGAATATAGATAGATAGAAAATTAAGAATATAGATAGAAAGAAAATTAAGATAGATAGATAGATAGATAGATAGATAGATAGATAGATAGAAAATTAAGAAGATAGATAGATTGATATATAGAAATAAAATTAGAAGATAGATAGATAGAAAATTAAGATAGATAGATAGATAGATAGATAGATAGATAGATAGATAGAAAATTAAGAATATAGATAGATAGATAGATAGATAGATAGATAGATAGATAGATAGATAGATAGATAGATAGAAATAAAATTAGAAGATAGATAGAAAATTAAGAAGATAGATAGATAGATAGAAAATTAAGAATATAGACAGATAGATTGATAGATTGATTGATAAATAGAAAATAGATAGATAGATAGATATATTGATAGATAGAAAATTCAGAATATAGATAGATATATAGATCGATAGATATATAGATATATTGATAGATAGAAAATTAAGAAGATAGATAGATAGATAGATAGATAGATAGATAGATAGATAGATAAGAACATTATTAAGTACCAAAGATATTTTTGAATGGTTCCATGTCTGCAATCAGTTTCATTCAGTTCTCACTTGTAAGAATAACACATAAAAACTTTAGTACCTTTTTTTATTATTAAATCCTAATTCTTTACGTCCAACACAAAAGTTATTGATTGGCTCCATTTATGATTCAGATTTACATATTTTTTACTTTTGCTCACACAGTACCAGGCCATAAGCCACTCAGGGTAGAGGATTACTGAATAATATCGTTGTGCGTAAAGGAAAGAGGTGCATATTATGAAGATATGTAGGATAGGTATCGGTTGACCTGACACAGGTTAAGATTATAGAGATCGAGAAAGTATCCTCTCGGGAGTCTGTTTAACAAACTTACAGTTCTAGGAACGAAGCTGTCTGAATGAATCTTTCTCTCCCCCAAATGAATTGAGGATAATTTGACGTCGGGTACGTAATTTGGCAAGTACTCGCCGTGAGGGTCTGAACTGATAGATTATAGCTCGTTTGAACATTATGTCATAGTAATCTCTATAGAATATCGAGATGGTAGCAACGTTTCGTCCGTGGGAAAGGGGCTGCAGGGTGGAAGATAAGGCCGCCTAATCATCTTTTTATCACTATCAAGCCTGGACAGTGCGGACTGACAGCACCTGCCCAGATTTGGCAACAATACGCCATTCTTGGGTCTGGTGTGACGCCTCTTTCTAGTGTATTTTCTATGCGGTTTTTCAAATCTGCTTCCTCACCGCTATTTTTCACTTCTTTTGCCTGAAACTTTCCAAAAGAATTAAGTGACTCGGTGTAAAGGTTAATCATAATAATGATGACGGTCTGACATTTATTGAATAACTTTGGAAATAATTTACATTTTCCATGACCAGGAAAAACTAGAATATCAATATCACCCAATTATGACTAATAACAAAAGACCTTAGCAGTCGGTCACATGTTCACCTTGTACAAGGCACAAGAGCCACTCGAGGTAGAGGTTTACAGAGTAACAGGCACGGTTTATGTTAATATGTGGGGAAGATAACGGTTTGACCCTAGAATTGAACTGGTTAAGATTGTAGTGATAGGAAAAGCATTCACACAGGATTCGGTTTCGCAAAACAAAAATACCAAATTTTAAAGATTTGATTCGATATATATATATATATATATATATATATATATATATATACAGTGTAACCCTGATATAAGAGAGTTGTCGGGACCGGAGAAGAAGTCTCTTATATCCGGGTTTCTCTTATATCAGTGTTTGGTCTATTTTGTTTATATTAACACAGGCTCTAATTTGGAACCAGATAAAATCTATCTTATATCCGGGTTTCTCTTATATCCGGGTCTCTTATATCCGGGTTACACTGTATATAGTAGGTCTGCTCTACTCATTGTATTGAGCACTTTATTTAGTTATTTTGCGTACTCGCATCGGGTTTTTTTTGGGGGGTCTTGGACTTGCATGCTGGACGATTATTTTCGGTTAACGTACATGTTCTTGGTTCTTTCTTTTCTTTTAAACTTTGTTTTTCCTTTTGGTATTGGCTTGTTTATTTGTAAATCAAGACACCGAAGGTTTTCCGAGCGAGTATAGTTTCTTATACTTATAAGATTTCTATTGATAATATATATATATATATATATATATATATATATATATATATATATATATATATATTATACAACAAAGCCTAATTCATTCATTCATTCATTCATACATTTTCTACGGCTTATCAACCATTTGCCGGTTATTTGAATCCAGAATATGATTTTTAGATTGTAAATTTGGGGAGAGAGAGGGGGGCGATGAAAATAATAATCATTTAGCAACACAAGCTTTATTAATTAACCCATAGCTGGGAGTAGAAGAAGTAGATTCCTACCTTTCTCAATGGCACTGGTGCTTAAGTTAGTATAAAAAAACAAACTAAAATTGGAAGTCGGCTCTCTGATTCATATTTCCAACACGCATATCAAAAATTACAGCTCCTTCTATTTCCAAGCGGTCACCCATTTAGGTACTAACCAGGCTCGACGTTACTTAACTTCGATGATCGTAAGGGAACCCGTGTTTCAACGTGATGTGGTCGTAAGCCTGACAAAGCCTAAGACAAGAGACTGAGACACATATGGAATAATGAAAACAATTCATCCGAATCAAGACCGTTAAAATGTATCTGGTGAAATGGCAAAAATGTAATTAACCGTTTCCTTATAAGGAAATATTCGTCGTTCATTGACAAAACAGTCAGCGTTATTGCCTGTTGAAATTTTAAAAATATTTTTAATAATTGTTTTTTTTTTTTTTGTTTTAGGCAATTAGACATTTCAAGTCCACTAAACGTCTTTGAATTTTGAAAATGTTTGCTTCTGGTTTAAACATATTTACTGATCGTTAGGTAAGTAAAATATGACAAGGGAGATAATTCAAGTTCTCTAAACCGGCCATTCGGACGCTGTATTTATTTTCATATTTTATCTAATTTTAATAGAACTTTCGAATACGATTAAAGTTACTTTTTTGTTTCAGATAGTGTGGAAAGTTAATAACTTTGTTATATAATTATTTTCTCTTCTACTTATAATGATTTTCCAAGCGTAGCGTAAATATAACACAAGGCCGAAAATAGGGAGCACCAGTGAGAATCGAAATCACTACTCAGTTGTAGTGATTTTCCAAGCGTAGCTCAGATGTGGCACAATGCCTAAAGTATGGGGCACCCAGTGAGGATCAAACTCACTACTCAGTCGTAATTTTTCTAGTGAGACAAGCTTGTTAACTATTACACCGCCTCGAGGTGCCTCTTTCTCTTCTAGTAATATGTGCTACACATTTCTGTTGTTAATGTTGTTGGAAAACGCCATGTTCCTAACAACAAAGATTAAGAACACTGTCTAAATAATATATGGAATAATGAAAATAAAATTTCGCAATTCAACTCAGTGGCAAAGCTTCTCAGAAAGGCAAGAATGAATAATATGACAGCAGACACTCGTTCACTCAAAACAAATAAAGTCTCACATTACTATTGTTTGGTCTGTGAAGCAGGCATGAGGTGGGGGTTGTCATTCATGATCGATATGACCTTGTCACTGGTGCAAATTTTCTGTCTATAATCGGTGACAACGGTGGTGAGAGGTGATAGATAGCAGAAAATGCGACACGAGAGTGATCTGCTTCGCCTTGAAAACTGACGTACTGTTTGTCACGAAGACGTTGTGAGTCGGCTCGCCGGGCCCGTAGAACAATGGAAGAAGAATGATGCGGACGGCGGGTTACAAGGAATTCTGGCCACAGACTCTTCGCCTCGGCTTTAAGTAAATTCTAATTAGAACACTTGCTTTGGCAGATAAATGGAAAAGTTTCTTATTTTTGCCAGAGATGAAGATCTTTCGGCAATTTCTTTTTCTTTTTTCTTTTGCTTTTTTCTTCTTTTTTTTTTTTTCATGTATTTTTTTGTGGTTAGGGAAGTTCCCGTTACACATCTAGAGACAGGCCCACCTGGATACATTCACAATGCCAAACATAGACATAAAATGAGTATTATAAATAATACAATTATTATAATTGATTTAATGTTAAGTAAGATATATTGGTTGCTGGAGTAATCGGCCATTTTCAATGAATTTTGAAAATGTTTTCTTCTGGTTTTAACATATTTACTGGTTGTCAGGAGAATAAAATATGACAAGGGAGATAATGAAGTTCTCTAAAACGGCCCTACAGGGGCTGTATTTATTTTTATGTTTTATCTAATTTTAATATAAGAAATAGTTTAAATAATCGTTTTCTATACGTATTTTTTTCTTCCAAAGATCGAAGAATGGCTATGTTAAAACTAGAAGAAAATATTTTCAAAACTGAACAACAAAAATCTATTCATTGCTCATATATAGTAGATAAGTTCACCTATCGCTCAGTTCATACTCCTCCTTGGTCTTTTGAAAAGGAGTAGAGGTTTATCTCTTATTTCCTGTTTAGGATTGGGTTTCTGGTTCCTTCTAAAGTCTACTTCAACTTTCTACTTCGTCCCGCTTGAACTCTGAAATTTATAAAATTATTGGGTTTCTGGTTCCTTCTAAAGCCTTTTCGTTCTCTTTCACTTCTAGTAACCCCTTGTGTCTTAGTGACGTTATAGTCTTGCTTGGGATGAATTGATTTATATATATATATATATATATATATATATATATATACACAGTCATCCACTGTATCACAGCTCATCAGTGTGGCTAGACGTCCGGTTGCTTCTAGCTAGGATCGAAACCCGGCTGAATTCTGATTTACTGTTTATGTAGGTATGTATGTAAAGGCTAGGTATAGAAGTAGAATTCCTAGGTGTACATTTTTTACGATGATTTTAATCCTGTACAAGGCTCAAGAGCCACTCGAGGTATAGGGTCACATAGTAAGAGGCATGGTTTTTGAGGACATGTGGGGAAGATAACGGTTGACCCTAGACTTGAACTGGTTAAGATTTAAGTGAACGGGAAAGCATTCTCTTGGGATACGGTTCCACAAAGCAGCGGTGCGTGGGAAGAAGCTACTCGAGTGGAACATACATCACACCATTGGAATACGAAAGGAATGAGGGTGGTTCGCTATAATGGGCGTGGCATGACGGGTCCAAGCCATGAAAGTTAAAACTGGTGGAACTAAGGGATATTGTTCTTCTGAACACTTTCCATGGAAATAGCGACAGAGACTTTATTATATTTGCATGTATGTATATATCTGTGGGCAAACATAATTTTAGTGTGTATATGAATTAGGAGGGTAATTACGATCAGTGTGTGTAAGTGTGCGGTTGTTACAATTACCTACTGAGTATAGCTTAGATCATAGTAATGGGGCGTTCAGAGAGTATTGAACATCAGCCAATTGTTATGAGTAGGCGTGCAGATGGTTTGATGGATGGCGGCTCAGAAGGAGAAATCAGAGAGCCGAGTTCGAATTCCAGGTGATCTAATGACTGATTATTTTTTACGGGTTATCAACCATTTATGTGTTATTTAAAGCCGAATCATATTTTGAATTGTAAAAATAATTCTTCTGTTGCGGGTGAATATTGCATTAACAATTTCTTTTTGGGATAACAATGATTTTTATACACACAAGTCCTACTATTTAATCCATAGATGTGGGTAAGACGAGATGGGTTTATGCCATTTCCAACGATATTTGCGCGTAAATTAAGATAACGAATTCACCTGGAATTCGAAATCGGATCTCTGATTTCTCCTTCCGAGCCGCCACCCATCAAACCAGCCGCACACCTACCCATACCAATTGGCTGATGTCCAATACTCACTAAACGTCCCATTACTATGATCTTGTTCTAAACTAAGCTATACTCAGTAGGTAATTGTAACACCCGCACAGGTACACCCGCACAGGTACACCCGCACAGGTACACACACGCACACACTGATCGTAATTATCCTCCTGATTCATGTACATACTACAGTTATGTTTGCACACAGATATATATATATATACATGCAAATATTCTTGATAACATCTAAATAAAAATCAGCAATATTATTGGTCTTGAACTGGCGTCTCGGCTTCAGTTTTTTTCTCACCGTCGCTTCTCTGTGACTTTTCTATAAATACTTTCATGATAATTGTTCTGATTAACTTTGCTCTATGGTAACTAGACATTATTAATTTAAGCCCAGTACTACATTGGCGGCAAGGTCTTCCCAATCCACAGTTGAATTGACTAGATGCAACCGTAAGTTGGTTAACAGTTTTTCTCGTACTTCTCTCTTGTGGAAATCTCTTCCAACTCCACGCTTTCCAGCCAACTTTGATATTCAAAAGTTCAAATGCAATGTCAATCGCTATCTACTGTCCCTTTGATTATTCTTCTATTGTTCTTATTCTTTCACACTCAGTAACTCCTTGTGCCTCAGTGGCTTTATTGCCTTACAAATTCATTACATGAGTAAAGTTCTTGAAATAGCGCTAGGTACATTTTCTCACTTAGCGACCAGTTCGTTTAGCGATCAGGTAGTTGGGACTGAATCCGGTCGTTAAGTGAATGCAGTATACATAATACTGTGAAGTGTCTTCATGTGATTATAGGAGAGGGTCGCTACGGATGTCGCCTGGGAGCCAAGAGGGTGACAGATAGGAAAATTTTGTGAACCACTGCTCTATGGCAAGTGTTCATATCTATATATTTAATCTTTTTTGGTTCACATGACTTTTCAGAGTTCATGGTGCTTATACATGAGTGTGTACTTATAGTTTGGGATTTAAAGAACTGTATGCGTATAACCATTTGTGAGCGTAAAAATCCACAAAAATTCGAACCCTTAACTTCTCAACCTCAGCATTTCCCGCGCATATTTGCCTACCCAGTCAGCCAATCAGAAAGAAGCCGGATTGCAGGAAGTTTCCTATTGTATATTCCCAGAGCTCAAAAGAGCATGGTTTCGGTTCAAATTCAATTATGCGTAAGCAGGTTTTTTTTTTTTCTTTCTTTCTGCATCATGAAAATGCATGAGAAATCTGTTACACCCCTGGTACTTAAAGCATTCCGTATTCACAGAATCGCAACTATATTATCGGTGGATTAACGATTGCCTGTCTTGCCTGATACACTACCAGATGCTTTGCAGGAATCGTTGACCATCCCGGGAGTCTTCAAATGTCTTGGAGAGCCAATTGCGTAGACATTTCACTAATCGATACACGAAGCTGTTTTTTTTTTTTTTTTTTTTTACTTCAGTTGAGAAGACGAAATTGAATTTGTAAAACATAGGGTGGTGAAGGGTTTGAGATTAGTATCGCGGTAAAGAACTAGTTCTCGGTCAGTTCACGCTGTTAGCACCAATTCTTGTTTGAGCAAAGAGGTTAAGAAGCCTCAAATTTAGTCAGAACTAAGTATTACGTTTCGACACAAAGCCACAAGAATGAGCCCGAAATGAGGATCGAACTCGCTACTCACCAGTAATTATTAGCTGTTAAACCGCTACGAATTGCCCAGTCTGGCTATTTGGGTGGATGGGTGGATGGATGGATGGATGGATGGGTGGATGGATGGATGTGCAAATGGTGTAACGGATAACCGCTTGGGATAAGAAATCGGAGAGTCGAGTTCGAATTCCAGTCGAACAGATTCACTTATGCGCAAAGATCATTGGGAAAGTTATTAATCCATCTCTTCTCCTCACAACTATAGGTTAAATAGTTGGGTAGAATTGGAATTCTTGCCGTGGTTGGAATGTAGACAAGGAGGAGGATAACTCTAAATTCAAAACCGTAACAATAGATTTTAACTTACCATACTGACAAGTCTACAGCTATGTATGTATGTATACATGTAGTGATTTTCCAAGAGTAGCTTAGATGTGGTACAAGGCCGAAAGTATGGGGCACCAAGTGAGGATCATGTATGTATATATGTATGTATATATGTATATATGTATGTATGTATGTATGAATATATGTATGTATGTATGTATGTACGTATATATGTATGTATATATATATGTATGTATGTATGTATATATGTATGTATATACGTATATATGTATGTATGTATATGTATGTATGTATATATGTATGTATGTATATATGTGTGTATGTATATATATATATATATATGTATGTACGTATATATGTATGTATGTATATGTATGTATATATATATGTATGTATGTATGTATGTATGTATATATATATATATATATATATATATATGTATATATATATGTATGTATATGTATATATATATGTATGTATGTATGTATATATATATATATATATGTATGTATGTATATATATGTATGTATATTTATGTATATATATGTATATATATATGTATGTATATATATATATATATATATATATATATATATATATATATATATATATATATATATGTATATATATGTATGTATGTATATATATATATGTATGTATGGATGGAGGGTGTATTTCAGATAGATATGAATTGGCTAAAACCTTAAAACATCTAGAAAAAGAATACATCTTAGAGTCACATCACGTTGAAACACCAGTTCTCGTACGATCGCCGAAGTTAAGCAACACCGATACTGGTCATTACCTAGATGAGTGACCACTTGAAAATATCAGACGCTGTAAGCTTTGATGTACGGGTGGTGTAATGGATAACGGTTCTTAATTGGAAATCGGAGAGGAGAGTTCTAATTCCTGTCGGGTTTGTTATATTCACTTACACCCTAATACTTTTGAGTAACGTAGGAACCAATCTCTTCTCCCTAGCTATGGGTTAATTAGTAGAACCTGTATAAGTAAATCATTATTATGTCCAAGAAATTCTTAAAATCTAGAGATAATTTCTTTCTTCAAATAACGTCGATAGACCGTAAAAGAAAATCAATCAATCTAGAGATAAAGCGGCATTCCGACATATTGAATATATTGGAGTGTTTCAGATGTTAAGGCAAGCAAGACTAGCAATTGATCACGTCACCTATGTATCCTAAATTATTACAACACACTGTTGAGAACATTCTTAATGAAGATACTTCGAGCGGTTCAAACCACACCACACTGTCACATATCACTTTTTTAGTTCAGATGAGAAATTTGAACCATTAAATAAGATCCCGCAGATTAAAAAAAAATCCACTTACTTACCAAAGTCCAGAATCAATAGCTGAGTTAAACTTGATATCTGAATCGGTGCCTGAGTAATCGTATCTTTAGTACATTTACACTGAAGAACGATTTTCAGGAATTAGATTAATCATATTGAATGAAGTTTAAAGGCGAATTTTCACTCTGGAGTAAAAAGATTATTTTTACACTATTATCTTTCAAGACTTCGCATTTGTGTGCACAGGGATTTTTCACATTAACTCAATTAAAAAAGAAAAGTTAGAAACATGCTCAACTCTGCACAAGACACGGGTTTAGTACTTTCTTCTCCTGTTCTCAAAATGAGTCAATAATTTAAGAACAAATAAATAAACACATCTTATTAAATGAAAAAAGTTCAATATTTGTCGATTTCGCCTTTTTGCTAGAATTTCATCCATGTTTCGTTTTTGTTTGTTTTTTTTTTTTTTGTTGTTTTTTTTCCTTTTTATCTAATTCTTTGTTGGTTATTAACATGATACAGATGGGATAGATATTGGAGTGGTTTCCCATTAACTTCTCCGCATTTTTATTGAACCCCTTGCCCCAATTCTAGTTAGCTTGCCATTGACTCATCGAGAGTTCTTCCGTTCTTTGATAGGTCTTACGTTTCGTCCTACTCGCATCAGACGACGTCAAGCGTGGTAGCCGGTCTATTTACTGACCATTTGGCAAAGTTTCTTCTTTGGAAAGAAAGAAATTTCTTACATTGACTTAAATGAATAATGAGTTGCGAAAGGAATAAAAAATAAGGAGTTCTTACTTTCAGACGACAAAGAAAACAGAATATAACATAAATAGGAAAAATGCCAAAATAATTTTTGTTGCTGCCCAACGTTTCAGGCAATACAAAAACTACAGCATAAATTGACCCTCCCGGAAGTGCTTGCAGAGATACCTATCCATGTGTGACATGGCACTGCAGAACTCTCGATATTATGCAACTGTTAAGGAGAAAATGGAATGCTTAACCCTCACAAGGTATATCGAGGACAAGCGAAATATGGAAATGCACCAAACCACGTAGCAGACGATTTTGTGTGAATGGATAACATAACGGAAGGCGGGAAGCTTGACAAAGGGAGAAACAATGCTAAGGATCACAAAGGAAAAGAAGTTGTGGAGAGCCATGATGATCTCCCACTTCCAGACGTGACACAGCATATAAAGAGAATAATTCTATATCCTTCCTAAAATTAAAAAGGGATAAAAAATGCTAAGAATCACAAGGAATAAGAAGTTGTGGAGATAATGATAAACTTGTGTTTTACTCATGGCAGCCCACTTCCTGTCGTGACACAGCATATAAAGAGAATAATTCTATAGTCTTCCTAAAATTAGATATATTAAATTTTAATGAATGGATTTTTCATTTGTTAATCCGACATATTTTGATTTATTGCTTAAACGATATTTTTAAACGATTTGTATAATGGATACACATATTTGAGTTAATACTCTGTTTTTATTTATTTATTTATTGAAGAGTATATTTATTTATTTCCATCTTCCGGTCTGAGTATTCGAGAAATCTTAGAAAAATATGCGGGTTCGAATCCTACCTGATTTTCTAATAAAATATCTCGAATATTAGAAATACATACGAGGGTGGACCCAAAAGTAACCGGAATCGTTTTCTGTGTGACAGGCATGTAGTAGTTCAGGCTTCCATCGCTAGATGTCACTTGAGGCAACCCTCAGGCATCAGTGTGCTAACTGGTGTCATTATGGGGAGACGTACAGCTCCGTGGTTCACATTTGTTTTGAAGTGCTTCACGCCTTTTCGTCTATTTTTACCATGGCTGAAAGGAAGGAGCAGCGTGCTGCTGTGAAATTCTGTTTTTTTGCTGGGGAAAAAAAGCAGCCGAAACAGTTGTCATGCTTGAAACAGCTTACAAGGATGCTGCCATGTGTAAAACACAAGCTTATGAGTAGTTTGCACGCTTCAGGAATGGTCAATTGTCGCTGAAAGACCAGCCTCGTTCAGGGCGACCTTCAACCTCCCGAACAGTTGAAAGCATCATGAAAATTCATGAAATGATGTTGGGAGACCGTCGCCGAACAATTAACGAATTTGTTGATTTGACTGGTGTGTCCTGGAGTGCTTGTCAACGAATTTTGACTGAGGAATTGAGAATGAAAAGAGTTGCAGCGGAAATGGCGCCTCGCTTGCACATGGACGATCAGAAGTGGCATTCACCTCGAAGATACAACAAACAGGAAACGTCAATGATAATTATTCTTCATTTACAAACATATTTGGCTACTCAAATGAATAAATTAGAAACAAATCACAGGCAGTAATGTGCGTTAATCACGCTGAAATCCGTGAAAATATTATACCAAGACTTCATTTTTTTTAAAATCATACAAGGAATCTTTTCTCCAAAGAAAAACAAAATCAGCTTTTCCCCATTTCTAAAGCAGATGCTTTTGTTGGGAAAATGGCTGCGGTATCGGTAAAAAAATACCTTAATTCTCTTCGTGGCCTGCCTTATAATATGCTGCACCGTATACATCTCACTGTTCGAAGTATGTGCCGTTTTTGTTTCCATTTTTTTAAAAACTTCCTCGTTGCTCACATGTTCGGTCCACGGTATCCTCAGCATCCTTCTCTGGGACCATATTCCTGATGCTTCAAGTAGCCTCTTCATCTTTGAGACCGTCTGGCACTCACTGCCATACAGAAGGACTGATATCATATAGCAGTTTAGTACTCTTTTTCTTCCTTAGAGTTTTGTAAAAATGTTTAATGGACCTTTTAGTGAAGAACAGACTTTTCTGTACCACGTGAACTGCTGCTAGAGAATCGTAATCATACAACTACACCAAATAACAGAAACCACATTACTTAAGCACTTTCAACAACAATTAAAATGGATAGCGCATGTAACACGAAGAGAAAATAATGACATAAGATGTTAACTTACCACATTGCTTTGAACAAAAGGTTAAGAAGGAAACCCCGAAATATTAGAAAAGAGCGATGACAGTGAACTTGAGAAACGTATTTTCATGAAAAATTATTTCATTGCAAAGATTTTATAAATTTCAACCGATGGTAGAACTGTCTACTCGTTCAATGAATATCAAATGTTTCCTTATAAGGAAACAGCTAGTATTATCAGTAACATTATTTCGGTAATTTGCCACACGATCAAGCGTGGGAATTTTACAATACCATTTCCTATTACTGTAACTCGAAGCTCAAAATGTGACGTTCCATACGACTTCGAACAAAAGATTAGTAAGGAAACTCTCATCAATAGGAGAAAGAGCGATAACAGTTAGTGGACTTGAGAAAACTATTTTACAGAAGATTTTGCTTTTTTTTAATAATACAATTATTTTCTCTAACATAGCATTGCCCGATCGGTGAATGATCTTTGTTGCTTTTTTTAGTTCTACGAAGAATGGCGATTTGGGTGTTTAGATAAAAAGCAACTGAAATTAAGATAAGATAAATATTGAGAAATAATTATTAACAGACGCTGGTCGTTTAATAGCAGTAGTATTTCAAGGTTCTCCAAAATAATTTTGAAAGTGAAATTGAGATAAAATAAATACTGAGAAAAACTTAATAATAAACGCTGGTCGTTTAATAGCCGTAGTATTTCAGGGTTCGCCAACAAAATAATTTTTCATATTTTTCACTGTTAAAAAAAATGGGATTTTAGTAAAAGATACTAGCATTTGATATCATTTTAGGTCAAATGAAAGTGTTCTTATGTTTTTATCGATGCATTGTGTCTTTTCATATGTCATAAAAAATGAAAACCATAAAACAAGATTATTGTCAACAGAGATCATATTGGCAAATATAAATGTTTTATTGTTTTTTCTTAGTTTTTGGTAGTGGGGAGCATCAGAAATTGTGAAGAAAAAAAAAGTCTGTTTGAATTCTTCGTCTCCCATGAGACAGAGATTCTTGGTAAAACTATATTCATATCATTCATTCAGCGAATAATTTCGAGTAGAATGTGGCTGGGTCCTCTCATGTAAATAGATGTCACAACTATTTAAACAACTCCTTACTAACCCCAACCACACACGTGTGATTTTAAAAAAAAAATTCTTTTTTTTTTCTTTTTCTTTTTTCTGTTTTTCGTTATTTAGGGTAGGACACTGTTTTGCACAGAAATAAAACGCTATACATGCTTTTTTTTATTTCCAAATTTATCGGTTTTATCTCGCACAACGAAAGAACTTTTTTTTTTCATGGTCACATAGATTTGCGGATTCCTTTATAAAATCTCACTGACAACTGATGGATAGATTTATCTCTTATCGATGTGACACGTGGAAGGAAATTCCATATCAACAATCCCTCACTTGGCTGCCTTATTCTCTCTCAACCACTGTGGCATACCAGTGATGAGACCTTTTAACAGGATAACTAGTCATAAGCAGAACCCAAGAAGAAGAGGTTTCAAGCCTTTCTTAAAGTATTAGTGGACAAAGTAAACACACAAACTAAAAATTGTTAGCAAGAATTGTTACCGAGAAAAGAGGGGCTTATATATATATATATATATATATATATATATATATATATATACTTAGAGGGAAGGCCAACACCGACTTTGCATTTCCCAACTCCAATTGATAGTGGAAATAATCGATTTTTTCATGCTTTTACGGCAGTTTTCATTTAGTTTGCGGCCATTTTTACTGGCCAGAATGAGAGCCTATAGCTGGCTAACACGAATAGGCAGGAAGATTCTATTGGCCAGCGTGAGAGCCAACAACTGACTGACATGAATGTTAACTAGCATGCTAGCATGCAAAAAAAATCGATAGCTGCATTCGTCACAAGTGGGAAAAATTTTAATCTGCATGGCACTTTACTCCAATTGGCTCATTCGCTTGCTTAAACTCAACGTTGATTCTGATTCCGCAGAACTTGGTTGGGTGTGAAAAAGTATTTGTTGTTAACGTTCTTTTTTCATTCAGTTTTTCCACTTACAAGTCCATTTTTAAAGCTGATCGTTTTGTGTTCATTTTGTTTTTTTCTTTTTTCGTAACAGATTTAATGTTTAGTATAGAGCTTAGAAAAAATTCGCAGTGCGAGATAGGCAAGAAGTAAGGCATGTAGCAACATCAGCTCGGCAAAAGGGCACTCCTTTAAAGGCAAGGAAGGGCAAAAATATTTTAAGTTAAGTGATAGCGATTGCTGTATGAGTCGTACGATTTTTGAATCAACCACCGGTCACGCCGGGCTATGCTACTAGTATATATATATTTGTAATGCTGAAGAGTTCTCAGCCCGACACATTTCCCAAAATTTGACCAAATATTTTTTTTTACTGTTCTTTACTCTATTACAAGGTGCAATCGCTGCTCAGTGTAGGAGGTTGCTAAATGAATACGTTGTATGTAAATATCGGTTGATTTCAAGACTTATTACAATCGTAGTGATCAGGGAATCATCCTTTCGAGAGCCTGCTCCATAAAGTAACGGTTCTTGGGAAGAGGTTTTCCGAATGGAAATTCCTCCTTACTAATGGAATATATAGCTGGCCAATCGTATTCGAAGGTAGCTGTCTATTAGACGGCTAGCCAATCCCTAATGCAGAAGCTTGCTCAGGCGCATTTGTGTTTATTCAACACCCACAGAACCCACCTGTGGTTCATACTGCAACTATGCTGAGCAGACCTTAGTTACAATTTCTAGGAGAGAACATGTTATCTAGCATGAGTGAACAAGGCCAACACACTCAAGCCCTCGGCCACGATGACTTGTGACTTCGTGCTATCACAGCTATCAATGGCACCCAATTTCACTGACAAGGCTTGGATCAATCCGTGGTATGGTTTTCAGGCACTTTCCTGGGATCGATCCCCTCCAGTCTGATAACATCAGGAAGTTTCATCGACTACGGTGAGATTCAAACCCGGGTCTCATGGTCAGAATGTAAATGTTTTAACCACTCGGCTACATCCCCATAACTAATGGAATATGAAAGGAATTAAAAAGATTCGTTCCGGTATACGTGGAATGATGGGTCTAAGTTGTGAAGGTCAAAACTGTAGGAATTTAGCACATCTGAACATTTTCCATGGATATAGCGAGAGAGTAGTGAGAGGCTTGTGTCGTTTCGTCTGTGGGAAAGAGATTTTAGGGTGAACCATTAATCACCAACTACAAGACCACGTAGATGATTTCGAACTCTGTCAAGGCTGGAAAAAGAGGGTTGAGCAGGTTCAGCCTAGACATGGTTACAATACTCGATTTTTTGGTCTGATCTGACTCTTGTAAATATAAAGCATGCTAGGAAGAACCATATACTTCCTGGGGTGGACTATTTTACAGCATATTTAACGGTAGATCAAATATATGAGTTCAACATTTTGTGGTGAAATTGATGTCTGGAGTGAATTTAAGTCAGAGTAGACCTTCTATCATCGTACATGAGAAGAGAAAATTCAGGGTGAGCTATTGGATGATAGGACGTTACTAGTTTGATTTTAGAAGTATTCTATGTTACAAGTCCGTTTTCCCCCATTAAGCTCTTAGAGCTAGGTATTCTGATGTTGGGTCACTGAAATATATATGTAAGTATAATCTTACTTATTATAAAACGCAGATTGTGTGTGTGTGTGTGTGTGTGTGTGTGTGTGTGTGTGTGTGTGTGTACGTTTATATATTGGATCGGATTTCCTACATTTTTCAACCGATTTCAACAAAACCTCACAGGACTACATAAAATTACCTTGCGGTGGTTCTGACAGCGCCAATAATTGGAAAAACACAATTGTTTTTGCACGAAATCAATTTGAAAACACGATTAAGAAGCATCGCTTTCGCGGAATGAAAGGGGGACAACTCATATCGAGTTATACTTATTATAAAACCCAGGTTGTGCGTGTGTGTGTGTGTTCGTTTATATATGGGATCGGATTTCCTACATTTTTCAACCGATTTCAACAAAACTTCACTTTTTTTTTGGCAGGTAGTGTTTCTTATTGTCTTGCACACTTTTTTCTTTATTTTTACATTCAGAATGCTTTAAAAATTCCATTTCCAAGACAATTGTTTATAATAAAATTCTATTCAATCGATAAACTCATAACGATTGAAAACAATGTTTTTTTTAGTTTGGGTTTGACTAATTTGTAAAAAAAACAAAAAAAAACAAAAAAAAACTAATTAAGACATGCGTGTCCGTCGACTTTAAACAATAATCTTTGTCATT